AAACAATAAAACAATAAAGCAGTATGGAAATGGAGGAGTAAGGTATAAACAGCAAAGTTACAAATGGGATGAAAAGCTAAAGTGACAATTTTTTGTAAAAGAACACACACACCTCATTATGACAAAGAGTTAGTAACATATTCCCATGTACTAACTTCCCATGCAACAATCACTGCTTATTTTAGTGGATTACAGCTGTACGACCATAAGAAATCATTTCCACATACTGTCAAGGAACTTCAAAAGTAACTAACAAGTCTGAAATCAATCTCTCTTCTCTTAAAAGTTTTACATAGCAAAACGTTGTAACAACTGCATAAAGTATTTTATATTAACAATAGAGAGGAGTTCAGACTGTAAGCTGCTCTAGGCTATGATTCATTCATGGCGCTCTGCCAAAAAATAAATACATTCAAGACCAATGGCCTCAAGGGGAAAGGTAGGCCACTTTTTAAAAAGCACAGAGATAAATGATTTACAGAACAGAATACAGTTTAAGATTTCAGCCTATATGGATGATGAGGAAGGACTTTCTTACGTCTCACAAAGATTTACTGCACAGACTCAAACACTGGCAGTGTATCAACAGATGGAGTAAACTAGGAACTATTAAACTGGGATTTGCAAAACTCTCTCCAAAGAGCAAGAAATGACCCATTATATTGCTGTACACAAAGAAAGTTCATAAAGCCAAATCAAGATATGCAATGGGTATTTCAGCCACGTAAGACAAACATGGCCAGTTCAGATTACAGGCAAACTCTACAGTAAAGTAACACCTGTAAAGGGAAAGACCAATCCACTGGCAGCGTGACAGACTGTTTAAAGGTTGGGAGGGTTTGACACCATACAGCATCTGCTGCACATAAAAATGTTTAATTAGCTGCTAAACAGCAAGTGGTACATTCCTATTTTTTTCTATGAGAACATATCTTGAATAAATGCTCTGGCTTAGCTAGCAAGGCTCAGAATGAAGATAGCTGTTTCACTACAGGAGCTGAGGCCAACTCATTCTCACACATCAGATTGACTTGTAATTGACTTCCAATGTTTTGAACCACCATTTCAGTAGCAAGCACCTTCTGAAACACTTTTAAATGTGTCTTACATTAATATTCAGAAGATTATCACTAACGGCATTTAAAAGGAAGCTGCTCTTAAAACGCTTCTCTACAGTTAAAACTGCATTTCGGCATTTTAAAAAGTCTAGATTTAACTGCTGCTCATCCCCAAACTTAGCAGTAGTGAGGAACTGCAGAGAAGGAGAAACACTGAGTCTCTTGCACTGCAAGATATCCTCACAGGATATTCTTTTTAAAGTTCTGGTATACACACATCTCTGGGGTACCCTTGTCTCAGTAAAAGGGAAAACAGGCACAACTTCAAGGTAACCAAACAAAACCACCACAGGGAACAAGCCATTAGGATCCAGCCTTGCCTTACACTGCAGCCATAACCCAGGAGGGGTTCGGCAGTGTCCAACTGTACTGAGACATCACGTAAGATTTTTCTAAAATTTCTTTACTTCTCTAGATTCAACCCCAAGCCATACGTTGTCATTAATCTCCAAAAGGAATTGCATTACCTATTCAACAACAGTAGTAATGTATGTGCTTTAAGCATGTGATTAGATGCTCTGCTAGTAAGAATTCTCAACCAGATGTTGAGCAATCTTATGACACATGATCTCTCTCAACCAGTGTTTGAAGCAGTTATATCAGTGCCAGTGTTTTCACCTCCTGTGGTGCTGTTATTTAACAGGTTTAAAAAGCCCCATCCTCACACCTTTTTGTGAAAAAAGAAAAAAAGTACACATTAGTCAGAATGGTTTTGTTCAATTATGTTACTTCCCAGTATGGCTCATTATGTAAAACTTCACTTAATTGCACTATTACAGCAGGAAAGAGTGAGCTCCTTAAAAGGTAAGATTGACTGGTTTTGTCACTGCCTACTTTTTAAGATTTGGTCATACTGCTTATTCTGCATATTTTGCTCCATCTGTACACCACAGATGTCCCTTTTTTATAGAAACGTACGAGCTGAAAGGAAAAAAAGAGTACCTAGAAAAGCCTGCATCCTTGAGGGAATTATGGGAATTACAAAAATGCAATAGTTACATTTTCATTTACAGTTATAAAGAGGAGATAAATGAGGCAAAATTCGGAATAAAATTTCAGTTGTTCACCTTAATTATCTGGTAATGTATTCAGTATATGGAAGAGATGTCTAACAATCCAATGTGCAGCAATTGGCATTTTTTAAAAACAAAAACAACTATATTTTTCTGCTTACGGTTTTCACTTTCCAGAAGTTGACTACAGGGAACAGAATTTACATACACACACAGAGAAAAACACAATTTCACTAAGAGTGATCTCACTGAATTTGTCAAAGACAAATCCTCCCCAGTGGTGAGCATCCTCTCCTTTAGGAGGAATTAAAGCTCACTTAAACCTTTTTCCACACAGCCTTAAAAGAAAATACACAACTACAAAAGAAATCCCAGAACATATAAAATCAATCGTTTTGCTAACTATTCATGCAGAAGGTTATTTCTGAAATTGTCCTGCTTCCTACAAGGAAGTGAGGTGATAACACCAAATTGCTGCTGTAAAAAAAAATTAAGGAAAAAAAAAAAAAAAATCAATCTTTTGCCCATACTCCTGCCCATATGCAGCTTCCCCTACAGCGTACTTCATTTGGGACAAAAAAAATAAAAGCTGTTCCCTCATTAGGTGACTAAACCAGGCAGTTCTGCCAGCAAGCACTGCACTTCTTACCTGGTAACTATTTCATCTGGAAGGTCGTGACTCCATCCTGGATCTTTTCTCATGCCGTTCATTTGTCCAAAAGTTTTGTATCTGTCGGGGTCTGTTTCTACCACTGGGATCAGTATTCTCTGTTCTTAAGAATTTTCCACCAAGCATACCTAAGTAAGTCAACATCTGATTTCAGATTTCTTTTTACTAGAGCTTATGCTGAGATGTATAAAATCATACGGTTATTTCAAGTCTTCACTACATATGAATTTAATTTTGAGGTGGATAGGGTATATTTTGTATAAAAGACTTCTAGATTATCCAGAAAGGAACCTCATGCAAACAAAAAAATCCAGCCAAAACCCAAGGTTAATATAATTTAAGCCGTGGCTTAAATTCCCTAGCTCCATTTTTTACAACATAATCTTTTCAAACCAGGGACTTTGGCCTCTTACTAATAGGGACAGAGAATGCTAGTACCACACACACAAACATTCTCTAGTTGAAGACACTTCTTTTGAAGAATATGCCACCATAAAAAGTTAGTCAGCCTAACATTAGAAAAGGGACATTTGAGGCAATATGCCTTACAAATTCTAGGTCTATCATCAACAGATAATGCCAAGTGTAAGGAACCTGCCTATGACCGTAGAAAGTTACTATTTCACAGTGATAATGTTTTCCAAGAAAATAAAAAAAGGGACACATTTCCTGACTCTAGATTCAAATTTTGCCACTTTACACTCAAATATTTTTAAACAATATTTTAAAAGTACCCCTGTTATTAAAGTATGCTTCAATGAGTCATATTACATATATTAATATATTTTCTGTCTTTCTTAAATTTATACTTTGAACCAGCAGCCAATTTTATTCCAATAATTTTTTTAAGATCAGTAAATCAAATGTAGCTTGAGATGGCCCTACTGATCATATAATACACAAGAAAAAAAAAATGCTAATAAGGTAAGATGCATTTTATTTCCATTTTTTTACCTTTAAATTATTTTTATCATTGTCACTCTCACAAATAAAATTAAGTGTTCTCTCAATTTATTTAAGAAAAACATCCAAAATTAGCAAATCCACCTGACTCAGTGCAAAAAATATTTACAACAGATGCTCCAAATTTATTGTGTCACACATGAATACTGCCAGAAATGTCCATTCTTTAATAGCATAATTAATGTAACATGTCATTTAAAAGTCCAATTTTATTTAGCTTAGCTAATTTAATTAAGCAAGGGAGAACAATCTTTGTGGACAGTATTTTCAGGGAAAAAAAATAAATCAAACAATCAAACAATAGGTAGTTTCATTCATAAAATTCTCAACTTTAAAGCACTTGAGACTTCTGCCAACAACACACATTTCATAAGTCTGCACAAGTAGGTCTTGAAGGTCAATGGAAGTATGACTTTCCTTCCAACTATGACACTTCTGACAGTGCTTAGCCATGAGCTGGGCAGCTGTCATCTGTGTCTCATCAAAGGAACATACAGTTATTTTATGAAAGGATCCGATACCTGACAGGCTTCTCACTTCAAACACTCTTTCCCATGCAAAGTCATTGTTGAAGTTTTTAGATTCAGAATGTCACCCATCTGAGAAAAAAAATTTACCTTTCATGAAGTCTACCCTTCCCAAAGCACCCAGTAAGCTCTCTCAGAAGTTGTCTAAGGATGAACTTGTAAGTGTAGAAATAATGTATTTTGAGAGGACAGTTTCATATCTACTTAAAACTCAATGGACTCTCCAGTTCTGTAAGTCCTTGACAGAAGTAAAATTCTGACAGTGAATACTTTGAAAAAGCCTGAGGGTATTTTCAAAAATAGAGCTAGCAATACATAGAAAATTAGTGGCTTTGGTTTTAATTCATATGTACAATCAATCCTTTTTACTCAGGGTTTCTGAAAATCCAAGCTATAGTATACAGAAAAATCTATTTTGGTATTTACAGAGTATAATTCCTTTGCCCTATTACCATCAAACTTTCCCCCACTAACAAAAAAACTTCCTACTTTAGTAGTAAAATTGGGCATGTAAATTATTAAAACAGACTGCTTAAATACACTTCAATCTTCTCAAGTAGGCAAAACAGCATCTGCAAAATATTTAAAGAAAAAGTACCATTTACCCATACACAGTATGTCAAAACTCAAGATGTCTTCCTTAACCATCCTTTTGTCATTTTATATAATTTCTTCATACTGTAAGTTATAGATTTCTTTGCCCCTAAAAAAGAAAGATATAAAACTCAGAAAATATGAACATTTAGGAAGGCTAATTCAAATAGTAGGTTCTTACATTAAGTAAAATATTACCCTGGAAGAATGACAACCTAATCCATCAGGCAGACATACAAATAGTCGTCTTCTCACATTCATAACACAGCAAATAATGACACAAAAAATTACTTTTAATAGTATCAGAGCATGAGAAATAGAACAGGTCCATTCTGAAGGCCTGATGATGCTGCATACAAGTACACTGTATAGACAATGACCAAGGTATAGCAAATGTAGAGCTTCATGATAAAACTCTGAACTAGTACAGAGGGGAACTTTTGATTTACATCATTGTTCCTAAATGAAGGCTTTTAACCCAACTGTGTCTACCGCAGACCCTCACCAAACCAATACATTACGCTTTCCAAGCCCTTTCTGATCTACTGCTAGTAGGCATGTCCAGCAGAGTAGGATTGTACTCTGGCCTGGTAATGGACACCAGCAACCCAAGAGACCACATTCTGCAGCAGGATGCCCAAGCAGGACTATTTAGAGAAATCCTGGCTGTTAAGTGTGCTGGCCACATCTGTGAGAAGAATCTAATTATCAAAGAATTTTGGCTCTTGAGACTCAGCAAGAACTACAGCTATGCCCACAGGTGTGCAGCCAAAATTTTACTGAAGGGATAAAAGGAAAGGAGAGAGGGAGAGAGAGAAAGAGAGGCATGAACCAGGACAAAAGAACAGTCTGCTCAAGCAAGACAAGCAAACTCTGCATGACTGGTAGGCAAAAAGCTTTATACTTCCAAATCCTACTTTACCAATTTCATCTGCTAATCAGCTTTCAGTTAGCTTTGCTTGATGCTAGACACCAGGCACTTGGTTGCCTTGTAGGCCAGTTCTACAGAGTTAGAATTGAGAAGCATCACACTGATGCCCATCTTGCTTGATTAAATGTAATCAAACACTGAACACCACCAGCAGCCTTCCAGGACAAACAAACCCAGAACATTGCTATGCAAAGGCTTGTGAACTAAAAATGGAAACAGAACATTGTTTTTTTCATAGGAAACGTGCTGCTGACTGTTGAGGTGGAAATCTGTTTTGGTTTCAATAAGTTGGAAAGTACATTATAACCTCCTTGAAAATTTTGTTATTGCCTCATCTGAACTAATGGCAGCTACTATTTCAAAAGAGAAATGCACATCTCCAAGAAAATAAAATTGCTCAACTTGCATAATGAAATTACATCTGTGTCCTTAGGTAAAAAAAATAATACTGAAATGATGATGGGTATGGAAAACCAGATTAATAAGGCATATACCCGGGTGAACCTGAAGGAAGCAAAAATAATGAGATTATGACAAACAGCTATAATTTGACAACAGTGCCAATATCAGCAGCATACCATGGAAACCAATGGGAATATCCTGTCACAAGGATGTTGTCTGGACCAGTTTTGCTTCAGAATAACCTACCTGTCACTCGTTTATAATAAACCTCACATGCAGCCAGAATAACTGTCATAGCATCATCCTGCAGTAGCCCACAAATAGTGAACTTTGGTAAATACCATACCATCACTAGGCCTACAAAGGAGGAAAGCAGTTCTCAATTTTCAGAAAGATACAGAGGGACTTTGCAGCAGTCATTGCCTCCAAGCTTTTAAAAATTTTAGATACAAAGGGACTGAGGATGACTCACACACGATTTGTAAAGCGTACCATTAAACACTTTCTGAAGTTCCACCAAAGATGAGCTTTCTCTTACAGACCTAGAGTAAAAAAAGATAGTCTTTTTCTGGGTTTAGTCATCTAGTATTTGAAAACTTAAAACCAAAATATTATTAGTCTTGGCATTTCAGCAGAGTTCTGAAATCCTTGCCAGTGGAGCTACTTACTTTTCCCCCTTCCAGCTTTTTTTGATTAACCCCACCCCCCACCCCCCACAAAAAACCAACATAAAATACAGAGTGACTTTTCAGATTACACCAGAGTCTAATCACACCCTTACAAATTCAAAACTGAAAAGGCAAGTTTTTAATGCTGCAGAAAATCTTTGACACTTACATGCAGAGATTAAAAAGTATGGTACATTATACTTACTACAATCTTTCTTATATTTATTTAATAGAACACAGTTTACCTGACAGGACTGGCAAAGTACACAGAAGCAATTTAGCCAAAAGTCAAAAAGTATGAAACTCCAGAAGACAAGGAAAGATCTTCTGGAACAACTGAGCAACTCTGACCCAGGTTTAGCCATCTACTGCACTGGACTTTTTTTTGAGGGGTGGGGGAGGGAGGGGGGGAGAAGGGTATGATAATATTTGATTTTGAAAAGACCTTAAAAAGTAATAAAATTAAGATAAAATACTTAAAGTTCAAGATTCATTCAGTATTAGCAGTCCGGAGTCACAAGAATTCAAGTGAGTATGCAGTAATATGGAAAAGTGCATACTCTAATATCTGAAGGAATGTGATGGAGAGTAAAAAGCCTGTAACAAATATGCTATATATAATCAGTTTTGCACTTCTCGTGTCTCTAATTGCTATTTAAATAAGCTTAACTTTACCTTTTGTAAGTAATCATCCACACATATATTTTCAACTTACAGAACCACGTTCATCCCATATGCAAGCTCAAACTTTTCTGTATCTAATAGTTTTTTGCTAAAAAGCAAGCACACTAATGAAGTCACGATGGGCTTTTCTTTGCAGTATCTCAAATAACAAGTAAATAATTGTGTAAAATCTGTAGTGCCTCACATATCTGCATTAAAATTGCACACAGTGTAAGAATTCCAGTTGCAGAATAAGGGTAGAGTGAGCTCAGGCATAGCACATAAGTGAAAGAAGTGGTTCCAAGCTCCAAAGTTAAAACTATATAACTGTACAGCTTTGAAAATTACCCTCCAGTCTCCCAGGTACTATACTTGCAGGACACAGCCCCTCGAATACTGAAATTGCTGTGCCAGAATTGATGTTGTTCTGCCATTCCAATGAAGCAAGCACAGCGTGTGGCAAATCAGCAGTAACACAGCTGATACAGCCCTGCAGGACTGTAATTAACGGTGCTGGCACTGCAGCCTGCAAGTCAGCTTGTTCTATCACCCTGCCAACCTACTCTGCCTCTTGCAGCAGCTCAACGTAAAGAGATTTTTCCCCTTCATATTTTCCCCCTGCAGGGAGCACTCTACTGAACTCCACCCACTACAGCCTTATGTAATAAGATGCTTACATTTCTGCCCTAGCACATTATGCTACAAAGCAAAATACAGGTTTATACATACAGCTGGTTTCTTAAAGCAGCCCTCAGGGTGATGAGTCACATCTGTAGTAAAAGTTAATGGTTGTAATTATGGCTCAGTCTCAGAATCTGAAGCACTTGGACCACATGAAAATGTCTTTCTACTTTAGCTATGAATCTATGACTTGGTGGTTCCACCTCCCCTTTAGATTTTTCCACTATATGATACAGAACAAAGACCTAATACACATGGAATCAAGACCACAAAATTTCAGTGTCAACACAAGTTGTATCTGGTTTTACTTAACAATCCATGTTGGGTTTTTTGGAAGTGTTAGTGTTGCAAGATAGTAATCTGGCTGTAATAGAAGTCCCCCAAAGCTTCCTTGTAGATATGCCTGGCTGTGGTATATACTTCATTTCCATTGAAAAGGACTAATGCATATACTGCTGAAGACCTGTCATGTGGAGGCAAATAGTTATATACTGTTAGTGTATCGTGTACAGACACATGCAAACTTTTTACACATATTTACAGTGAAGTACAGCGGTATGCAAAATCTGCTCAGGCAGCTGAGGAAGACAGCAGTTATCACAAATCCACAGAATATTTTATATCTAAAGCTGATCTTTATAGTTAAAAAAAATTTCCTTGAAGACATAGTATACTCATATCCCAGTTTTAAGAAAACAAATGTTATTCAGAGCAGCTGCAAGCATTTGTGCTAAAAGTATCCTGAACAATTCCTTCAACTGATGATTTAATTCACAGTATTTTATTTATAAGAAGCTTTCAAGGCTTGCAGCATTCCTCTAGTAAGATGTAAAGAAGAAATCTAAGCTGAAGAAGTATCAACATCTTCAGAGGAGTTAAATATAAGAACTTCAGAGTTAGTTCCCAAAGACCATGCAGACTCTGGCTATGTGGTAAAATAAATCAAATGATGGTGCCATCTCTAATGGGAAACAGAGAGGCAATCTCACCACAGACTCAAAGAAATACATAGGCACATTTTCAAAAACTAAATAGGGCATTTAACAACAAACAAAAACATAGAGCTTGAGCTCAACTTTAAAACCACATTGGCAGAGAAAGATGAAAAAAGTTCTCTTAAATGGGTTGAAATTCTTTATTTTGCTTGTGCTCTTTGCCAATACCATTAATAGACAGCCTGCCATCTCAGCAGCAACTATTCCTGATGTAATTTAGAAACATGCTGTACACGGGACTACCATGCTACAGAGCAGAGAATAGGCATTTCAATTTTTTTGTTAAGAAAAAACAATTGGCTAAGGAAATCATTTGCTGTCCCCCATTCCATTTCAAAAAGAATGTAATGAAAACTAAATTTTTTTGCAAGCAGACATAGGACAAAAGTACTTGCACAGTTACTAGGAAGAGCAAGAAAAATAGACAGAGCTTATTTAATGGAGTGACTGATTTCATTAATCTCTTTCACAATTCTTTTATTTTAGCTATGATTCTTAACAGAAGGACAGAGCCATAATACTTTTTCCTAAAGTCTACTAGAAAGTGTGAAAATAGGTCTTAGGGGAACAGAATATTCAACAAGATTTGGTTAAATAATGAGGAAAGAAATACACCATCCTGAGGGATTAAATTTAAAAGCTCAATACTTTCCTGTAATTCCCTGCATGAGTCAAGCAAATACTTTCAATGTAGTAGCCACAGTGTTTTGTCTGTGTACAGTATGTATCCACACGAATATTAGCTGGTGAGAGCCCCACGAAATGGGAAAGCAAGGTGAACAGCATTAATGCCTGCCCCCTAGTGACGAATTTTTTTAATTAAGAAACTGCAATTGGGAGAAAATCTTAATTAGAAAATACATCAAGATTTAACATAATCTCAATCATAAAAGTTTGGAGGGAAATATTGAAAAAAAAACCAAACAACCCAAACAGAAAACCACAACACAAAACAAAACAGGCAAAGGCTTCTACCTAACTCCCAGACCCATGGAAACCCATCCCTCCTAAAATCCAAGGCAGACCACTGAAGAGCATACAGACATCACATCAGAATAATACTGAGGTCAAGCCCCGGTCAGTTAAATTTAATTTCTTCTTTAATGTGCACTACAACATAGGTTTTTCTTACAAAAATACTATGTCTGTGCTTCTGTGCATTTTCAGTGAGCAAAGCTGGTGGTGGTGTGGTAAGGGCCACACCCAGGCTGGTCGGGGAGCAGGGCTGTGCCTCCATGAGCAAGTCAGGCGGAGCACATCTGCTGTGCAGCAGCACATGCGACAAGCACACTCCTCACCCTCCCTTCTCCAGCCAGGGCAGCCTGCGCAGCAACGCTCAGGAAGGTGAGCTCTACAGGCAAGCGCTGCATTCACTAAACAACATTCAGAGCTTAGGAAATGCCAGAAACGGTCCTTTTCCAAATCTAACTCATTTCCCTCAGAATATAATCTGGGAGTAACCCCAACAGATCAGCCCTGAGTTCTGTTGCTAATGGTTTTGGCCAGATTCTGGTCAGAAGTGCATAAATATGGTTAAAATAAAACAAACTAAATTATACTGAAAGTAACAAAACTAACCACTTCCAAGCCTCCTTGCTCAAATTTGGCTTGTGTTTCAGGCAAAGAATTGCAATTGCTTTGCTCTACCTGAATCAAACTTCAAAAAATGCATTTCCAACACTAGAAGGACTAGTAGAAAATACATAGTTTAGATACAAGGATTACTCTATGTAACTGGCTGGTTCAAACACAACTAGACTTTGTTTTTAAAACAAAAAAAAAGCCACTATATATATAAACCAAAAAAGCAATTAAGACAAAGGGAAAGAAAAGGCATTTCACAAATACCTAGTTTCAGGTGCACAAAACAGAACACATGGTAAAAATTACAAGTCCTACTAAAAGATGCATTAGGAGACCCCAAAAGTCCTAGGAACAATTTAGGCTGTATTACTGTATAACATATGGAGTTAACAATTACAAGGCAATTTTCTGTTCATCAGAAGAGACAGAGGGGAGCATAAATAATCTGACAAAGCTTAACTATTTTTATTCATACTCTGGCAGTTACAAACAAACAGCTTTGCTGCACACGTCAGGCTAGCACTGAACTCAACATGGTAACACTGGTTTTGACCCCTCCTCTCCAATTTTGCTCTACATGTTCTACATCCACTCTCCATGGATTTAGAAACAGATAGGTTATAAACTGATATTTCTAAATACAAATACAAGAAATCTTGACAACTAGGAGGAAATTTTGACAACAAACCCTAGAAGAAAACCATCAGGTTGGAAACCTTACAGTAGAAACTAATACCTGCAATCTGCCTAACTCATATAAATAAAAATTTGCTTTTCTTAGATGGAGTTATGTCCTTAAGTCTCCTCCAGCTACTAAACAAAGTTAGGCAATAGTTTTGTCAGAATTCTTCCAGTTAATAGAACTAGACTATTAACAGAAGGATATAAACAGTACTGCTCATTTCACTCAGCAGACTAATGGTCAACACTGCAACTTGTGTTTCTTTATTTTACAAGAAGGTAGGAAGTATAACATGGAGCCACCAAGTTTAATGGGAAGGGAACAGCAGCTGTAGAAGTCTGGGTAAGGATTGCTCAGTAGGAAACCATACAGCTGCTTTTAAAACCAGTAATGACATCATTTGTATATAATTGCTTTTGTGGAAGAATTAGGAATAGGTATGAATGAGTTCAGAAAATTATTTGAGCAACTTCATGCAAGCAGCAAAGATTTTTCACTTTGCAGGCATTAAGACTATCTCCTGATCAGAGTTTTAAGTAAATGAAAGCTCAGATCTTAAGTCTTCCTTATAAACTGAGCTGCAGTGCTTTCAACTTTTTAAAATGTAAAAATCAGGTCACCTTAAAATTAGATTTATTCCAGAACTCATAAAATAGGATGAAGCTCCAGCTATGTAACTGGCAGTAACTTACTCTGAGTTATGAAGATTTTGATAGCTGAAAGGCATCCCTAGTTTTCCCAGGTTTCTACCCAAGCAAATCCTTTTTTATTCCTGTCTACACCTTCTTTCACATTGACTTTTTAAATACTCATCTCTTTTTCTGAAGTAATTAATGTTGAAGTATGACTTACAGTAATATCCATTGCTCACCAAGTACTGTCTTCAAATACACACCTGTCTTCTGAGCCTGACAAAACCAGTGGGTTCTGTCAAAGCTCTCTCTCTCAAAACTCATCCCCTCCTTTATTTTATGACATAATCTCCATAACACCAATACTATGTACCGATCATTTAGAGACCCATCCACACGTAGAAACAGAATTATAAAGTAATTTCTTCAATTTTTTAATACAAGAAGAGCAGAACTAGTGCACATGAGCCAAATCTGGCCCACATATAAAATGAAGTCAGAAGTTGGTTTTTTGTTACTTTTGGGTTGTTGGGGGTTTTCATTTATTTATCTGTTTAAGAGTCATATAGACTCCAAACCCTTTTGGCATTTTACAATTTCTCAATAGTTATATAAAGCTTCTGCTTTAAATATTATTTATTTTCCAGGGGCTTTCAATCAGACACCCACAAGTTTATTCTCTAAACTCTTGTAAGAAGACAGTCTTGGGGCCCTGTAATTTTTAACTTGGGAAATCAGAAGGCCTATGTTGATAGACATCACACACATTCTTACCAGCTGTTAGTATGGTTTTAGCACTCTGCACTATACTGGAAGATCTCACAATTCCTGAAATGCCTGCAGACAGAAAAGCACACAGATGTTACCCATCTTAGCAGTTTCGTGGGGATTTTTTTATCCCCCAACAAACATTAAAAAGTTAAATATTTTTCCAGTTATACAATCAAGCCAGACAGCCTGAAAGTAAAACATACACTTAAGCTGAGAAAGTTTCTATTCTGCTTTGTCACACTAATTGAAAGTATTTAAGCTATTTTAACTTGTTTTACATGTAACATACAGAAAAAAAAAAACCAACAAAGCAATATTAAAACACGTAACAACTAGTAGGAATTGATCAAATTAATTTATTTAGCATTCCCATTATTTATCTAAGATGATTAGTCACAAAGGATTCAGAATTGTTTCATCTAAGTGCTGGTAGATTAGCTTTCTAGAGCAGAACAAATTACACTCATTACTTACTTCAATATGAAATTGGGACTTTGCACTTCTCTGATCAAGTAGAGATGCCTACAATGTGCAGTGTTTATCTGGCTTTATTTAATTATCAGCTTTTGGAGATCAAGCCTGTTAACCACTCTGCACTGTGGCACATCCAGTTCTCATTGTCCAGTGGTTCTTAAGTATTACTGGAATAGTATATAAAACATCAAAACTCTTTTTGAAAAGTATTATCTGTTCTAATACATATATATAAAAGCATACTGATAAGTGCAGAACAAAACTACTGCACATTATGAAACACTTAAAAATGTAGAAATGCAGTCCCAGAGTTAGTCTTCCAAACTGAAAGTTATTCTTCTGCATTAACCAGAATGTAAAATATAATTTCAAATATTATTTTTAAAATCTTGTTTCAAAGCTACTTCTATGATGCAGAACAAAGCTTAGGGAAATCCATGAATAAGTAAGGGGGATACAATATTCCACTGGAAAATAATTTGGGGAGATAGGGGTAGGGAGTGGAAGGGAACAAATCATGTTGAGCTAGTAGAATACCTAGGACATTGCAATTCAGCTTGAGTAATCAGCTTTCTCTTGTAGGATTAGCAACTGGCTTGTGTCCTTTGCCTAGATTCTTGAATTAGGAAAATCTTTTGGCCACAAAAGCGAAAGAGGAGATTTTATTTGTTCTCTTAAGAGCATTAACATGCTTGGCTTAAGACTAGATCTATCCAGTGGTTTGATACTGAACTGCTGTACCACTGTGCACAGCCCACAGTCACAGCCATGCCTACAATACCCTACATAAACACAGCTGCAAGCACAGTTAGCTCAGGGTGGGCAACTCAGAGCTCTCACACTGTGTGTGCAAAACCAGGCTGGGCCATGAGTGGATTGGGAGCAGCCCTGCAGAGAAGGACATGGGGTTATTAGTGGATGGAAAACTGTGTCAGCAACATACACTCGCAGCCCAGAAAGCCAATCGTGTCCTGGGCTGCACCAAGAGTAGTGTGGGCAGCAGGTCAAGGAGGGGATTCTGCCCCTCTACTCCGCTCTCGTGAGAACCCCCCCTGCAGTGCTGTGTCCAGCTCTGGGGGCACCAACATCAGAAGGACATGGACCTGCTCAAGCGGAGCCAGAGGAGGTCATGAAGATGCTCAGGGGGCTGGAGCTCCCCCCTGTGAGGACAGGCTGAGAGAGTTGGGCAGTTCAGCTGGAGAAGAGAAGGCTCCGGGGAGACCTTACAGCAGCCTCCCAGTACTCAAAGGGGTTACAGGAAAGGTGGGGAGGGACTCTATCAGGGAGTGTAGGGATAGGACAAGGCATAACAGTTCTAATCTGAGAGAGGGGAGATTTAGATTAGATATAAAGAAGAAATTCTTCCCTGTGAGGGTGGTGAGACACTGGCACAGGTTGCCCAGAGCAGCTGTGGCTGCCCCCTCCCTGGAAGGGTTCAAGGCCAGGCCGGACGGGGCTTTGGGCAACCTGGGCTGGTGGAAGGTGTCCCTGCCCGTGGCAAGGGGGTGGGACTAGATGGACCTTTCCAGCCCAAACCATTCTATGGTTCTATGCAGCTCATAGCACTGCAGCTCCTGCTCCCCAGATTTGGTTATTACCACGTTACTGTTGCAGTCCAGCCATCACAGCACAGAAGCTGCCATAGATTGGCATGAAAGAAGCTGGACACCAGGTGAATTCATCCTACACTGTCAATGGAGAATGGTAACTCTCAGGAGCTTTTTTTCCCCCAAGCAGAAATCAGCATAAGAGCTCAGCAGTTGGCTAGTGTCTAATGGTTCTTAGGTGTCTAGAGTTTCTGCTGCGCTGAAGAAACTTGCAGAATTTACCACCTGGAACTAAGATGCATCAAGTTCTTTAGAGATGTAAAGAACTGTTCAGTTAAGTGTTTTCATTTTTCTGCAGTATAATAAAATACTTATGTCTGCAGCATTAGCTATAACTTCCTCATTCCACATAATCTTGCCTTAGAGAAGTTGTGATGATGAGAAGCACCTCAGTCTTTTTCCTCAAACCTTGAGTTGTCTGCCAGAGCTCACATATCTGGACTATGATGATTGGGAAGGATAATGTCAGCAAGCCAGAAATTTAACTTAGCATTGCAATGTATGACTGGTAGGATATATAGCTTAGTGTTTAGATGAAGTTATGCCAGCCAATGAAAACCTGAAGATGTAAGCATCCCAAATAGAGTTAGGTGGTCTAAGCAGGCCACACTAATTCCTAAAGACTACTTCTTTCAGGACCCAAACCAAACATATCTTTCTATATCAGTAGGAATGCTATTTGCTAGAATCTCAGATAACCTGTTTGCAATCAGAAAAATACATTCCTAAAAGCATGGGTTTGGATCTCATGATTAATCTCTTGTTTTCTTCATCCTTCTCTATAAGTCATCGTCCTGAATTAGAAGAACATATACAATAAATCTGTATATCTAACAGGTCTTAAAGGAGATTATAGGCACTGATCTAGGCCTACCTTGATGTACCACAAATCCACAGTCTGGGTCATGGGCAACTTGCAGTAAAATTTCTTCCACATCTCTGTTTTTTCCAGGAGGGTCTACCAGAGAAGTTATCTTTTGTTGCAGAGTCCTTGGCAAAGCCATTAGTTGTGTAAATTGACCTTCTGGACTTTTATCAATCTGAATGATATAAAAAATAAGTCAGTAAAAACATTCAGTGTTAATAAAGTACATTCGCTTTTTCTTTTGGCTATCTTTGACCTCCGATAAACATCTCTAAGAATACAATCCATTTCACTTGTAAAAGTCATTGACCACGCTAAAGAAAACTTCCCAAGCACTGGGAAACGCAGTACCTCAGTTCTAACCTGAAAAATAACTCAATGCAAAGATGTTAATTTTTATCCAAGGGAAGACTAATGTACACACATGATCTTGCTGCCTCTGCAAGAAACTTTTCATTGAAACCGTATCATTTCTGCTCTATCCAATTTCCTTTGGAAACATAAGTACACTACAATGGAAAAAAAAAGTTCCCAAAAGACCACTTAGCTAGTTTCTTCTGCCTGAATATAATCAAACTATACACACACATTTCAAGTTTCCTTTGAAAAACATTTTCTCTCCTTTAAACTCAAACCACATCTGGTTCTTATAATTTGAAGGAAACATTCATTCCACATTTTCCAATCTAAATCAGAAACTCAATGACCCTTTTTTGAATACAACGATACCAACATGCAGGCCTGTACACATTTATGCCAAATATAAGCACAAATACTGAAAAATGCATAATGGAGCAAATCTCTCCAAAACTGGAGGAAAATATGAAGAGTTCAATTCCCCCCCCCACAATTTTTTAGACAGTTAATGGACACATCAGACAGAAGTCTAGTTGCCCTATACACTCCCTTTAGTCAATGGGGGGAAAATGATATCCAGATGAATCACCCACTGACTACAGAGGGAGCCGACAATGAACAGGCTCTTAACATTATGTGGGAGGAATCCACGCCTGAACCAGAACTGTAAGAACTAGTGTGTGCCTTCAATTATTTTTGAGGAAGCTTTAAAGAAAGAATTTTCTCTGTAAGTCTGAAGATGTATACTTGGAGAAGGGGTTTCTATTCTACATTATACAGCACTCCCAACAGCTATTATCCTCTTCAGGCTGGGGAATAACTGCCAATAACCAGACCAAGGTGTGAGGAATGAAGTATGAAAGCACTTTGCTCAAAATCAACAATAAAATGATGGTGATGGCACTTAACCAACAGTCTCGATGACTATTAGGGAATTATGGACCGATATATTATCCAACAACATATCTGTAGTATGCTACCAGGATTAGGTTAAAGGTAACACAACAATGAGTATTATTCTAACTAGTCATTTTATCAGAGAAAACACTACTGATTATTTTCAAAATTCACTGAAATACTTCTTACACTGAACTGTTCAAAAGCACATTGAAAAGAAAGAGACAGTTGCAGTATAACACAGATTCGCCTATGAGGTACTCCAAAGCGTTGCAGTAAAATTATTTACTGTACTCAAGCTTGCTTATATCTGCACTTCAGTTTCTAACAAAGACATGTCCTAAAAGGAGACATTTGAGAGATCATTACCAAGGTGACTTGAGGATAGAGATACCCATGTCCACAAGACAACCCATGGTATTCGTAACTTCATGCTAAAATGTATACTGGGCTTGGGTGCAGACATGCACACTACAAGAGGAAAAACTGATGTTGGACCCCTGACCATGGCATCTCTCCCCTAACTGCAATGTTACACCTTACGCCAGAAAGATGGAATTCAAGATACTGGTCATTTTGGATACCTGTTTCTCAAATACTATGGAAAAACTGGGTTTAGTATGGGTATTTAAAGATAATGCCGGAATTTCATTTGGGTTCAGTCAACTGATCTTCATAACCAGCACTCTAAGGGGGTTTTTTGTGAGATGAAGTTTTTGATTGCAGAAAGTTGCACCTCTAAGTTACAGCCTAATCTTTTTAACACAAACCATATGTTTATTCATCACTTCCTAGACTGTTGTTTTCCATATGGTAATCATTAGAACACACATTTTAAAATTATCTTCTCTTGTTCCCTTGCTATGACTCCAGTTCTGTGCCCATACTCAAAATGAGCAGTAGTTACTACATATGCAGAGACTGGTATTAAAAGCAAGTCTTCTGGTTGCAGAACTAACTAAACAACAGAAACGTAACAAATAGCAACTACAGTGACTACAACTGCTCTCCTTAGTGTATGGCATAATTCTTGCCTTCTGTCAAAGTGATAAAGCACTTCCACTTGCTTGTTTTAAAAATGTTTTGAAGAACACTTGCCTCCAGCCTTCCCAGATGGTGCTTATATACCACTTGAGGGCAGTCCTGTAATATGTTACTGTACAGCTTCTGAAAATGAGGAACATTAGGTTTCACTATGTTCTGCACTTTGGATCTGTCTTCTCCTATTACCATTCTGAAGTCACCTACTCAAGAAAAGAGAAACAGTTAATTCATTAGGAAAAAATTGAAAACTCAAAGAAGGAGAATATAACAGAAACCAACATAGTACAAAGCTGTCATCTGAAACTTTATCCTCCAATTCTACCAATGCCTATATAATCCACAATAAGCTTCACAGTCTAACAGTTAAAAAAGACTATTCAAATACATTCAAGCGCAGAAAATAAGATTCAAATTGTTATGTGGCCTCTGATATGCTGTAATGTCATCCACTCATGTGTCCACATTTTCACTTGGACAACAAAAAGATTCCAACTGTCAAGTTCAGCCTCAAAAGCAGCAGTAACACAGCTATATTCTTTGCATCCATATATGCAGTTTCAACAGATTACTAAACAAACTGACCAGCCCCTTTGTATCCAGAAACAAATAACCTTCAATTTTTCAATACTGAAAGGAAGTAACTTGTATTGTCTCTGCACTTCAGAAGCAGTACCTGAAGTACAGCTCATGGCAGTTCTGGTAAGATCACAGTAGCACCTTTTCCTCTTAGCCACATATTTTGTCAGTAGTTTCAAAAAGCAAATCATTTTAACACCACTGTTACATTACTGACCTTTTCACTTTCTTTTATGATACATGACTGAAAAGTTTCAAAGAGAAAAACTGAAAAGACAGTCAGTCTGTAATAGAGCGCTCATATATAACTACTAGGTACTACCCTGATAGCTTTCAGGGGTACCAACCAGGAGTGAGAGGCTCAGTGCCTCACATACAAAATCCTGAATCAATTCATTTTCCCACTTTCCACATTCAAGGGATAAATGTTGTCACTAGCAAGTTGCCACCCTTGCATTACTTAGTTTATTTCAATTTATGCCAAGCCACAAAACAAACACTTTCCACATAAATGGTACTGACTCACTGCTCTCAAAAAATGGATAAAAAAATAAAAGGATAAACATTTTCCAAATTAAAGCATGAACAACTCTTTTCAGCAGTCTCCAAGGAAACTGATTAGAGTAACATATAAAATCAGTTTTGTCTACTAGTACACTGTCTGAAAAGTTTAAGACTTCGCAAAATGGCAGCAAAATAAAATATCCACAAACATGTAATTGACAACCTGTTTCTTGAACATTCCCAACTGGGAGCTTATTGCTTTAGCATGGTAACTGTGCTCCCACATTTTTAGCTAATTGCACTGTTTCAAAGAATATATAAAAAAGTATCTTGGTCACTAGTGCTCACCAAGAATCTAATGACATTCCTGACAGATTTCAGGTGGGCAGGTATGCAGCCTTGTAACAAACATCCCTGGTTAGCAACCCTCCACCATCCTACTGTCAGCAACCTCTTTACTGCCGCTTTCAAAGGGATAACAATTCAGAGAAAAACTGCTGAGGAAAAGCTGAGTAAGTTGCAATCTGAAGTGACTAGAGAGTTACTACCTAAAGAACAGTAACACTCCTCAGCAGAACCAAGCTGGAACTTATAAACCCTACCTGCTACCTGTGCTTTTTTTTTTTTAAAAGCCAAGGTGCATTTCTATGTGAGCAACATGCGCGCTGTGTAAAGTACAACTCCAGCCAAACTTGTTCATAGGGATTTCATTAAGGATAGCAATATTTAAAGAGAATTGCTGAATTAAGTCTTGTACTGAAGAGTTATTTCGAGTAATTTCTTAATTTTTTTTCCATACCAGTTCATACCAATCTCGTAACTAAAGGAGGAAATTCTCCTACCAAAAAAAAAAATCAAATGCCAACCAGGTGCTGAGTGTTAAATGTACACTGAAGAATGATCTTCTGGATTACTCAATTAACTCAATAAGAACCTTAAACACAGCATATACAAAAGGAGATAAAGTATGTGTCAGACTATCAGATGAATCAACAGTACACTTACAGTGGAAAGAAAACTTTTCCCAAGGTTTTGAAGCATTAAAACCAAAATACAGTCCATAAAAACAGGCAAATGCCCATTATTTCACCACATTCAAACACTCATAGACAGCTGTTCATAAATCAAGCAGATATAAGAAGTTTTGATTATGTACCTATACCTATTTTCTATGACAAGCACAATTAGTCTTTCCAATCATTAAAACACAGTTGCTGGGCCTACACTGTTGCATGCTCCAAAGCAAGAGAGCGGATGACTTACTACACACTTTAGATTTCCTACTGTGGTACAACAGCTCCAACTACAGCTCTTCTCCTCAGCGGCTTTAGACACTACATACTAACCAGAATAGGAGAGTCCTGCAATCTGCATGTAGAGGTCTTCTTCAGAGAAACTTTCCGGCAACATGAGAAAGGCTGCTGTAACTGCACTCTTCAGATTGCTGACAAGCGCAGCTTGCAGCTTGCTATTCTCATTCTGTGTCAGTATTTTCACCTGAAAAAGCAGAGTCATCAGAAGCAAGACTTCAGGAAAGTGCTACTGAAGATGGAAATGTTGCTCAATTCAGCATGAAAACTAAATAAGAAATTTATTTCAGAATAGAACCTACTATTATGGTACAATAAAGACTAGTGTCCCCTTTTATTTACACAGTGGGAGAGAGAACCACCTCTTTTCAAGAATTAACAGCCTGCTACAAAAGGCTATTTTTTCAAACATGTTCAGAACTTCTACAAGCAACAGCCATTAACTAAACTCTGAAGAGCTATTCACCTTTCCATATTCATGAATTTAGGATTAATCAAAACAGTAAATATGAATGCATCAACAGAAATACTTTGTATGTAATTATGCAGTAAGAAAAAAAGACCACCGTCACACTGAAAGAGAATGGAATACCAGAAAAGGAGGTAAGTTTTCCTAATCATCTTCATTTTATTTTAACTACTTATTTTTTTTTTAATAAAGGACTCCTCTATCATGCAATTCAAGCAGTTTCTTAGACATTAGTTGTCCTCCTAGGAGAGGCAGAGCTTTATTTTGCACTGCATAAGCAGAATGTGAACTCTATGGAAACTTCACATATACAGGAAGAAGAGATCAGTGAAGTTGACTGCTTCTACATGCCACACAGAAAAGTTTATTTTTAGGAAACATTCAAACTGTTCAAGACCAACTACGGAATCCAGTCACCCAAAACAGACACACACACAGAGATATAGATATAGATATATATATATGGATAAAAAGCAGATCTTTATCAAGAACTGAATACAGAAACATATTATTATTGAACATCAGACAGATGAAGTCAGCCCAGTTTACAAGACAGCTAACTATGCTCTTTCAGAAACATCTCTACCAAGAATACCTGCTCAGTGCAAATATCTTTTTCAAGTGTTCTGGTTAAGCAATACTGTCTTTCTTATAAACAGCAGCTTATTATTATCTGTTTACTCTAGAATACCTTAAAATGCAAACCCATGGGCAGTTATGAACAAATGCATCCAACTTTCCTTTTCTCCCCAAAGTCCATTCACACACAAATGAGTTGCAGTATTACCTGAAATTCTGTCCCCACATATAACCTGGAGATAGCTAAGGTATCCTTTTCAAGTAAATATTTTCCTTTAGGAATATAAATACTGTGTTAATGAATAAAAAAACCTAACCCAGATTCAGTAAAGAGTGAGAATCAGGCATACCTGCTACAAAAAATTCTTCTTACAGAAAGAACGTTAACAAAGCAATGTCATGGTTGGACAACACTATATACAGAACACAATGTTTAATTAAGGTGAAGTCTTTAAGAGGGATAAAACTAGAACAATATCTCATTTTGGTATGATGGTGCATGCAACAGTATAGAGGACGCTTGTTTCAATCATTCTGCTCTAGAGCACAGGTTTGCCTAACATCAAATCTACACGACAGTCTGGAATTGATCTGGGGTGGATTTCGGAAGAAAGTTTTCCCTACTTTGATTTTATTTTTAAAAATAAAGAGTTCACTGTACAAGTGAACATTTCAGAATTCCTTCTAACCTCTCCTGCAAATTACTCTCTATTTTTTAAGCATTAGAATGAAATACAATGATAAAACACATGAAAATACATACATTCATCTCCACAGAGTAGATTTTATTTCCTTGAAAACTGTGGTAGAAGTTTACTGAATGCATACAGACTTGCTCATATAAGATCCAATAAACAAGACAGGCTGGTCATGAGGATAAATTATTTAAAATCTCATCAACTAACTCACTTCTATGTACTTTCATAACTTGCTGCTACAGGGAATTTCTAAGGAAAGACAGAAAAGTCTGCAGCACCACAAGCAGTCACACAAACTGCTTATACCTTAGGCTAGCCCTGGAAATAACAGCAAGTTATGGACAAGTTTTAAGAACACCACAATTACAGCCTTTTAAAACATGAAACTCAGCAGAGATGCTATTCCTCCCCATGAAAAACCATGGACTTGCTTTAGTGAGGTAGAAGGAATAATCTTCTCCGCTGTTAAAAGTACTCTCCAGCATAAACCAGAATTTTTTCAAAGGGAAATAATATGCTGGGCTTCAAAATCTAAACACCTGAAACACTGCAGTAGCGATACCATTTGTGAACAGATTTTAAACAGTTCAGATAGCTAGAAATCTCCCAGGAAGACAAGAGTGCAATAGTTATCTCTCAGGCATGACAAGGATGAATGTTGATTCTTGGGGTAAATCTGAAAGAGCACCAAAGTTAAGGAAGGCTTTTTCACAGTACAGAGAACTTATGATCATAAATATTCATGTAAGGGGGAAAGAAGCAACCAATTTATTCTGGTTTTACAGTATACAGAGAATTCAGTTAACTAACAGTAGAGATTTTAAAATTACTAAATATTAAAGTGAGGAATATATTCAATTTTATAAGTAAGCATGATCCTCAATCATCACAACAGCTTAAAGTAGGAAATGCACTACCTTTACTGCTAGGAAATTCATACACAAGAAACTGGAGGCATGTGTAAACAAAGATACTTACAGACAAACTAAATACACAAAGACCATCTCATTCTAGAATGAAAGGTGTCAAAAAGCACTATTCCAGTTTGCCATTTAGCCACATCCACCCTCTGCTAAATATCGTAAGAGGATTTCTCCATTCTCTTTCAAAAAATGTTTTTACAAATTTCGACAATGGAAAAATTCTGTAAACAAGTATGTGCTCTGTCACTCCTTCAGGGGAATTTTTAGAATATAAGAAACCCCTAAACCTCCCAAGACCTCTATAAAAAGTACAACATATTTCTATACACTATTCCTATTCCTCCCTCTCTCACCTGAGAATTTATTAAAAACTTCCTTAATAGTTTCTCCAGACAACAGTAAATACAGCTGCTTACACAAAAGCAATTATTTACACGCTATGTTTAACAAAAATTCAGTAACACTTCAGATGCTTTTTAAAATCTTCTTCCTCTGAAAACCAATTATGTGTCACTTGTGCTTCTTTATTTTACTTTTCAGGTAGAGCAGCATTTTTTTTTTTTTCAGGAAACCTGTCAGTTATGGAGCAATTATAACTATGTTTATTCAATTTTTCAATACAGTTAAATGGAAATTTAGCTAATCAGTGTTATAAATTTCATGTAGAATGAAAAGCCAATAAAATTTTAACACAAACAAAAAAGCCTGGGAAGAAAGTTAGCATTTCTAAGTGGCAATTCCAAACTCCATCTATTCTGCCAAACATTCTGGAAAGATTACTTGGTTAAGGCAACCAGTTTATATAACAGAAACAAAACCTCCAGTGAAAATTAAGCCAAGATTTCCAAGCCAGGGCAAATGTTTCAGCTCATGTGCTGGAATAGCTTGGATAGCTTTCACCCATATAGTGACAGCTTTGTAATGGAACACCAGAAAGGCACTGAGCTCTTCCTCTACTCTATGAGAGCAAGGAGAAAATTCCCAAACTGTTAAACAATATTAATCTGGCTTCAATCAGTTGGGTAAAGGAACTAGCACAAAAGGCAAACGGTATGTAAGAGATTATAGCATACAAGGAAACAAACCTAACCCTGTGTCCCTTCGAAAAGAGGCTTACTGTACATTTTTGAGGAGGTGAAAATAGCTTTCTATCACTACCCCTTACAATGTATGTATATCGAAACATCAAACGGGTTGCGAAGCCAGAACCAGCAGGTATTTGAAACCCATATAACAGATCTAAACAAATTATTTGGTCATTTTTTGGTCAACATGGTGTAACATTCAAAATTCCAGTTAGCGATTTTATAGATTCTACAGGAAGAGAAAGTTTAAACACTCGCCAAGTAATCTTTCAGTCAAATTCTAGTGTAAGTCCTGCAAACTTTACCCAGTGCAAATTCCTGAGAGCTTTATGAAAATAATTTGGAATGATTTCTTCTTATATCTATTAGACAAATACGCATGAAGATATCTCTACTGTCTTGTTAGCAACTGAACAAAATACTGAATTTTGCCTTCTTGTGCAAGCATGTACTCCCACTGAATTTAATCAAAAGAAATAAAGTACAACTTATATATACTAAGAAGATGAAAAATCCTGAAATAAATCAAAGCAGAAACACTGAACAAAGCAGTTACTGAAAGTAAATATTCACTATTCATTGTTAATGTGAAATTCAGAATTCTTCCTTCAGTTATTTTTCTCTATGTATTAAGTTTCACTCTTTATAAAGCTAACAGCTGTTTTAACCTGTAACATGCTATAATAAGTCTCTGGAGATAGAGAAAAGTCAGTAGTGCCGAGACAAATTATTCAAACTTTCACCCCAAATTTTTAGTTAAAAGCAGAATTAACTTCTGTCCTAAGACTTCAGTAGAGTTTTCCTCTCCTTTCCCTCCACCCCTCTTAAGAAATTTTAACTTAGCACTGCTGCCATCTGCTGAGAGCACCCTGAGTCAAGCCCTCATGGAAAGCAACGACCTTGTATTTCTTATAACACAAAAACGGAGGAGAAAAACCAACATGCTTAACACATGGTTATAGATACTTTAACAATACAAAGAACTAGACAGTAACTGCACAGCAAAGCAGCTTTCATCTTTGAAGATTTCCATTATTAAACTGTGTTAAATTTTGGTGACTGATAATTTGTTATAAAAGGTAAATATTACATATAATATTAAAGGGACTTTGAGTTAACGTAGCCCAGTTATTCAAGATTTACTACAGGCAGAAACCCATGATTAATATACCTAACCTTTGGGGTTTTTTCACATAACACAGAATATCATTAAGGGCTACATTTCACATCCTGTTTGAGACATTATCCCTCTAAGACTAGACCCCTAAATCAGGGCAGATTACTTGTTCACTACTGACGCATAGATCCTTAACAGTTAAACTACAACTGGTAATTTTCTAACCCTGTAATTTTCTGCATTTCAAGGCAGATAAGTGAACAGACCAACCATTACCGGTTTTTGTAGGCGTCCAGCAACATAGAGGGTTTTCCAGTGAAGTAAATCATCAATCAGGGTATCAGTGCTAATTACACCATATTTTATCACCTGGAAAAAAAAGCAAAATAAAGGCTTTTGAAAAAACATATAAATGCACCATTTTCACTACATGAAACTTACTACAACTGTCATTAATTCTAAGGAACACACATCTCCAATAAATAACTGGATGCATAACATTAAAACATTTTATTGTTTTAATGAACACAGGGGATAGATAAAAATAAATTCTTATTTACATGCAAACTTCTGGGAAAAAAATATTTAAAAGTCAAATGCACAAAACTCCAAGATTTTTCTAGAATCAAAGTTACAATAAAGTCACCCCAGGATCAATCACTAAAGCCAAAGACTTTAAATCCCAAAGCAACCTAGTCTAGGCCGACACTGAGACTCAAGAGACCTGAACCATAAAATACAACTGTTCATAAAGAAGTTTTGGAAAGGTTACAATCAGTTTTGTACCAGTCAAATGTTACAATAGTTGGAATAATCCACAGTGTCCTTTATGACACTGTAAACACTCAAGAAATAGTTTGTCAGAGATCTAAAATAAACAAAACCCTCAGACATTTACTTGTACTGTTATTGGGGGGGAGGGTGTGTTATCAGGGAGCTTTTGCTCTTTGATGTTAGAAAACAAACTGTGATTTTGTAGTTCATTTTATTTAACTGGAAAAAAAGATGAACTTTCAACTCTTTGTTACCAATTTGCAATTTCTGAAGATTATCATCACAGCAAGGCAGCTAACTCCAGAATTTCTGGATAACAAAGGATCATAGACTGTGATGTTACCAAGTCATTACAGCATGAGATAAGGGCATGAAGAGCCAACAAGAACAACATTTCATAGCAAAGATCATTAGTCCTTAAAATAAAAGCCAAAATCCCTCTTTACATAAAACAAACACAGTTTAAACCCCATATTCTTGCCTCATACAGATGCTTTTAAACAAAATGGCAAGTACCTAAGAGACTATTTTATCTACCTCACCAACTTTCTATGAAGAATTCTGACACAGTCAACATTACTGCAACTATGTGTATTCTGAGAAGCTTCCGTTAGGTATATATGGCTCACGTGGCACTTTTCCATGACTGTCCTTCATTTCATTTCCCATCTTTCTTAAAAAAACTCTTGCTTTCCCTATGTACAGTTTGTTAATACATGGTAAAAGTTACTCAAAAACAACACCAAGACAGGCACAGCATCTCCCTCCCCTGACACTCACCTGCAGTACTCCTTACCAAACAGTCTACACACAACTGCAGGAGTAGGCCTTGTTGGACAATTGCTACTTATTTGGAATTATTAGTTACATCCAAGCTTCACAGGTCAGGATGTTAGCCATTAAACAACACAGATGCCAATTCCAACTTGCTACGTTAAGTATTTGTACTTTACATCAAAAAAACCCTAAGAATCCACTTTGCTATTAACTTCTGCAGTTGACCATAAAGTAAGGCCCTGTTTCCCCACAATACACTTTAGAAACACCAAAACTGGCAGACAGCAAGCAATACCAGTTTCTTAAGCACTTCAGCCATAAATTCCAAATGTTGCTTGCACTTTCTAAGAGCAGCTGCTTTGCTTTTTAATTTATATGCTGTTTGTGAAGCAGTTTTGAGACATAATTACTGAAGATACCACAAGTTAAGGATTAGTTACAATCCACACCATTCACTTCCTGCACAGAAATCTGCTTTAAACCAATCACTTCAGTACTTCACACACAAACATTTGACTTAATTTACAAAAACTACGTGTACTTACCCTACCATTACATGGCACTAAAGTATTGTAGTAAATCCCTGCTCCATAGCTCTGTACACTACTTATCTGTTTTGGCCCAAAAACTTTTAGGAAGGAATAATGACTCCTGTTCTTTAGTAAGTTCATCATATGCCAGGTTACAGAATCATCAACAGCAAACACAAAGTCCAGCATATTGTTCTGTGGATAAAGGAGAAAAATGTTGGGGTTTGTATGTCAGGAAGCAACCGATGTTAACCATATTACTCTAAGATATACCTAGTATCGAACCAGCAGCTTTCACATTTTTCATAAGTAAAAAAAAACCAAAAACAACTAAATCAAAACACAACTATTTATGTCAGATACAGTTTAAAGGTTCTGATGAGGTATTTTTTCTAGTCAGCCTAAGGGAGATGGTCCAAAATTTTCCGGTCTTCCTGATTAAAGGACCAACCTCCAACCATCTGAAACAGCAAGAGTATGTTGATGTGATCTCCATCAGCCTAGTTCACAGCTCAGCAAAACAGCTTAAACTGCTAACGAACAGGACTTTTTCTAAAATGCAAGGCCATGAATTGGGGAATGTGGGCAGATAGTGTCAGCTTAAAGTTGGCAGCAACAAATTGTGCTTCTAGTGTATTCACTTGCTTTTGTCAATAAAACAAGCCAGCCTCCAAAGAGCTGGAACGTACAATGCATGCCCTGCTCTTCAGAAGAAATCAGTCCACACATTCCCTACAAACAGGCAAGCTGACAGTTTACAACTCACACCTACAACAAACTAATATGTGGAGCGGTAATCACTTCAAATTCATTAGGCCTACTCTGTAGCTTACTAATTCTAGGCTGCATCTTAGCTAAACAGTTAATACCACTAATATAGTCAGCTGCCTTTTTTTCCTCGTTCTTTTGTGTGAGAATGAAACGCTGTTAGAGCTCTGAAATAATCCTCTGGTTTTCTCTTTGCAGAAAGGAAAATGAGACATGTGAAAAGTTATACTTGTGAGGAATACTTGTCAGGCAAGCCACAATAAGCCTATTAACAATTTTTAAAAGGCTGTAATTGTGGTGTTCTTAAAACTTGTCCATAACTTGCTGTTATTTCCAGGGCTAGCCTAAGGTATAAGCAGTTTGTGTGACTGCTTGTGGTGCTGCAGACTTTTCTGTCTTTCCTTAGAAATTCCCTGTAGCAGCAAGTTATGAAA